TTATGAAGAAACTCAAGGTGGTTAGGTGTTGTCCTTAAGACTTAAAGTTGTATTAAAATGAAGCAAATAGTCTATAAAATTGCTTTTCGAGAGAGATGGAGAAAAAGACACTTCATTTTTGCAAGCAGCAGGCAACAGGAATATGAGAGACCCGAGGATACAGCTTTAAATGTACAGTAATGGAGAATCCTTTTTTACAGATGCCACTTATGTTAATAGCTTGTATAGCAAACATTCAACATTAGTGCCTTTGGGGAGTCTTTATTTGCTGTAATTATGGAGTGATTTTTAAAAAGACCGTGGCTGCTGGCCAAAACGACTTTCATCAATCTGTAACCTTGCAAAGGAAGTCGGGGGTAAGGTTGCTCTCAAGCAAAGTGCATTGTGTCTGTGTGCTGCTTAAGCGCAGCAAAGAAGCATAGGGGGATGGTACAGATCTTTCCTACAGAATCTCTGTGCGTCCTACTCAGTTAAGTGTATTTTAATATTTTCATGTAGACATTGGACCACATGAGTTGCAATGGTGGGACAGGAACATCTGGCTGGAGCTTTGCCCATTGAATGGCATGCAAGCACATAGTTATTGCTGTGTACGCACGTGTGGTCACACACAACACTGCTGAATGTAGTGGAGCAGAATGTGTGTGTGTGGTGACGGGTGGTTTGTCAGTATCACAAGCTGAGTCTAGCTGTCTGCAGGTGCTTTGCTATCTTTGAACCCTCCTGTTTGGGGGCAAACTGTACGGGGTAGTCAATATGTATGCTCTAGGTAAGCCTTTACCAACCTGGTGACCCCCAGATGCTGTTGGACTAAAACATGGGTAGGCAAACTAAGGCCCGGAGGCCGGATCCAGTCCAATCGCCTTCTAAATCCGGCCCATGGACGGTCCGGGAATCAGCATGTTCTTACATGAGTAGAATGTGTGCTTTTATTTAAAATGCATCTCTGGGTTATTTGTGGAGCATAGGAATTTGTTCATTTCTCCCCAAAAAATATAGTCCGGCCCCCCACAAGGTCTGAGGGACAGTGGACTAGTCCCCTGCTGAAAATGTTTGCTGACCCCTGGACTTAAACATCATTCTTAACAATTGGCCTTTGTGGTTGGGACTTAACGGGAGTTGTAGTTCAAAACATCTAGAGAGGAGCAGCTTGGGGAAGGCTGGCAATCAGGCAACTTGGAGGAACCTTGCAAACACAATAAAACCTACATGCCCAGCTGACTCTTGCAAGTTCAGCGCATATGTTCACTCTTTAATAGGAAAGGGAGGAATCTGTGCTCTCTCTCCCTCCCTCCAGCAGACCTACTTGTATAGTCACTTTGGTGAAGATGCAGAGGTTTGCATCCAAATTACAGCTAGTGTATATAAATGCTGCAAATTAAATTGACTATCCACATTATAAATATAAGCTTGATCTTAATCATGCTGACTTGGAAGCCCGTTTCACCTATTTTAATACAGCTGCTTTCCAGTCACCTTAGTTGACTGGAAATGAGCAATTGCCAGTAATGAGACTGTTCGACCATTCCAGTTAATTGAACTAGTTTCAGAGTAATAGGACCTACTCTCAACGCTTAGCGATAGCTCAAACCTCCAGGTTTGTTTCATTTTTTAAAAACTCCCCACTCTGCCAGTTCATTGTTTGGAAGGGCATGTGACTGAGCAAGACAATGCATTTTGCATGAGTCAGCAACAGCTCCCAGGCCCTTAGACCTCATGCAGTTTGGTTACTGTACCTCCCAACTGTGAGCACGTAGAATTTGTGCAGTGCACGTCACGCCTGTTTCTTTCGGCGGGCTTCTGCTACATGCAATGTCGTTTCCGTTCCAAAATAACCTCAGCCAGTTTCCTACCGTAGAACCCTGCAATTGGTTAGTACGAGGCGTTTTCAAAACCTGTATGCGTGCGTACGCACTAAGATGATAACGTTGAATCAAGCACGTTCTGAAGGAAATAAGCAAATAAAGTGGTACCTCAGGTTACATACGCTTCAGGTTACAGACTCTGCTAACCCAGAAATAGTGCTTCAGGTTAAGAACCTTGCTTCAGGATGAGAACAGAAATCGTGCTCCGGCGGCGCAGCAGCAGCAGGAGGCCCCATTAGCTAAAGTGGTGCTTCAGGTTAAGAACAGTTTTAGGTTAAGTACGGACCTCCGGAATGAATTAAGTACTTAACCCGAGGTACCACTGTATATGCAACAGTGTTTGAGACAGCTTGGTTTGGTTAACTCATACACTGCTTCAGAGACATGCAGTTTGAAGCAAGAATCTTTCTGAGAAGATAAACTGTCGTCTCCTTCCCAGATAGGTCAGTTTTGGAATAGATTCACATGCACTTTTTCCTCTCTCTGAACTAATTATTTGCTCGTTATGGAAATATTATAATTCAAAATATGACAGTTTGTGGCAATAGAAAAAAGGGTACCCATTTCCTTTCCCCCTTTTAAAAGGAAAACATTTGCATGCCTGAAGAGAAGATAGATGTGCAAATGCTTCAGGCATGCTGACCTGATACAGTCCTACACTGAAATCAGCAGTGTTTGCTTCTGTGTAAAACATGGATAGGATTTGGCTTTCGGTCACCTTAACAGTATTAGATCAACCATTCATGTTCCTTACTCTGCCAATGCACTTTTTCTTAGTCCTTTTCAGATAGGATGGCACTAGAGTACAGCAGTTAGAAAGAAAGCTGATTCTTTTGGACAAATGAGCACACCACCCCCTTTTATTTAATTCCGTTCATATAAATGACCTTTAGCAATGCATAGCTGCATAGAAAGCAGGGAGGCGTTTTATAAGCAAGGAAACAAAAGAGGATCAACACTTGTAACTTACTATAGACACAAAAGAGACAGCTGCAGGGATTGGTAAGCTCCCACATGTTTTGGCACTGTCCTTTTCACTGAAAAACAACCCGTATTACTCCTTCATGAAAATAGCTCAACAATTCAATGTTTGTACTGTGTTCAAAGTTATTTCAGTGTGCAGTTTTTGATGGAACTTTTAAAAAAAGGAGTACAGTGGTACCTCGCAAGACGAATGCCTTGCAAGACGGAAAACTCGCAAAACGAAAGGGTTTTTTGTTTTTTGAGCTGCTTCGCAAGACGATTTTCCCTATGGGCTTTCTTCGCAAGACGGAAACGTCTTGCAAGTTTGTTTCCTTTTTCTTAACACCGTTAATACAGTTGCGACTTGACTTCGAGGAGCAACTCATAGCACACAGTGTGGTAGCCTTTTCTGAGGTTTTTGAAGACTTTGGTGATTTTTGAAGCTTTTCCAAAACTTTTCCGACACCGTGCTTCGCAAGATGAAAAAAATCTCAAGACGACAAAACTTGCGGAACGAATTAATTTCGTCTTGCGAGGCACCACTGTAATATGAATGTTTTTGCTTCATAAAGATACTAATTGAAACACATTGAGAATTTACCAATTATTGCAGCTGTCCTATGTGTGTACTTAATAGCGGTCAACTTTTCCCTTTTCTTGCGAGGAATCCTATTCGGAATAAGGGAATTTCCCTTTAAAAAAGGGAAACGTTGACAGCTATGGTGTACTTGTGTGTGTACGCATGTGCACAGTTATTTAAAAAACAATTTAAGGCAAATAACCAAAGGACTTTGAAGATGGGCCTTAAACTGCAGCTAGCACAGGCTTCTTCTGTTAGAGTGCTGGGTGCATTTTGGTGCAGAGCTGTTTTGAAGGATCTGCCCTGGCTACATACATAGGTTTTTGATGGGCTTGTCTTTCCATGTTGTCAGCTAACCTGGACTCTCAGATTCGCAGAGCCAGCCCTTCTCATCCCACTGGTGAATATTGCTGTCCGGGAGGCTGCAAGGCAGAATGCAATCACTAAGAGGACCCTACCTCTGGAATTTCCCCCTCCCTGCCCAGGAAAATATTGATGGCTACACCTTTGATGATCTGCTGCTGCTGCTGCTACTGCCTGGTTAAAGCATATCTGTTCCCAGGCTTCCTCAAACTCGGCCCTCCAGATGTTTTTGGCCTACAACTCCCATGATCCCTAGCTAGCAGGACCAGTGGTCAGGGATGGTGGGAAGTGTAGTCTCAAAACATCTGGAGGGCTGAGTTTGAGGCCCTGTCTCAGGCCAAGTCTGTTCTGCTGTCCTGTTAACAGCTGCCTGCAGATCTTTGTTGTGTTGAGTTTTAATTCTCCTGGTTTTATTGTATTTGATTGGAAGCTGTTTGGGGAACACACTGTGGTGAAAAAGCATTCTGAGCACTTCATAAATCGGTAAAATACACTTTGCTGAATTACTTTCATTAGTGCAATTTTTATTAGAATCTCCCCAACTTCACTCCTCCTAGATTTATGGTTTATCACTCAGCTTTGAGAACATGGATATAGGGTTGACTTTATGGCATTTGAAGCAGCAAGGTAACTTGAAGTGTGGGCCCATGGATAAAATGCACATAATGACTCATGAAGCATCTCACATCTATGCATGCCTATGTACATACTCACTCTAAGAAACCAGGCCTTTGGTTGATTTGGTTAACACCCTCTGCCCTTTCAAAATGTGGGTTTTTGGGGTATGTGTGTGTTATCGGGTTGTTTTTATTTTGATTATGGATTTTGTGACCATGAGACCTGTGGGTGGTATATGAATTCAAATAATAATAATAATAACAAAGCCATAAGTGAACTCACATTTATTAGAAGGGGCTATCTTCAACCCAAGGGTCACAGGTTGCACTCTGCCTAATTTCTTGCGGGTGACAAGAGTCATGAAGTGAGGAGGAAATGGAGGGAGGTCATCAAAATTGATGTAGACATGGGAGGGGGAGGGGCATCTGCAAGTGATCAGTTCATGTATCGGGGGGGGGGGGGAAACAAATGGGGGCCACATCCACCACTGACTTCATCCTCACCCATTAAAATCATGCAGCTACCAATAGGTTTTGTAGAACCATAGGCTTGTAGAGTTGGAAGGGACCACAAGGGTCATCTAGTCAATCCCTTGCAATGCAGGAATCTTTTGCCCAACGAGGGGCTCAAACCCATTACTTTGATATTAAGAGTTTCATGCTCTACTGACTGAGCTATCCCAGCACTCCACCTCTGAAGGAATTAGACTGCCCAGAGTGGCTGGGTCAACCCAGTCAGATGGGTAACTAATAATAATAAATTAACAGAATTTCTACTCCACCATTGGATGGTTTTCCTTTCTGCCTGCCCTGAGACTTCCGGGTATAGGTAAAAGTAAAGAGACCCCTGACCATTAGGTTCAGTCGTGACTGACTCTGGGGTTGCGGTGCTCATCTCGCTTTATTGGCCAGGGGAGCCGGCGTACAGCTTCCGGGTCATGTGGCCAGCATGACTAAGCCGCTTCTGGCAAACCAGAGCAGCGCACGGAAACACCGTTTACCTTCCTGCCGGAGTGGTACCTATTTATCTACTTGCACTTTGACATGTTCTTGAACTGCTAGGTTGGCAGGAGCAGGGACCGAGCAACGGGAGCTCACCCCGTCGTGGGGATTCAAACCGCCGACCTTCTGATGGGCAAGTCCTAGGCTCTGTGGTTTAACCCACAGCGCCATAGAGCGGTATATAAATTCAGTAAATAATAATACCCCTTTCCCGCAGGCGATTTCCCCAGGGAATACCACTCTGCTTGTTTCCTTTGCTGCAGGTTCACTACCTTTTCTGAAGGGAGTAAAGTGACTTAGGGAGGGAAATTTTTCGCTAATAGCTTGTGGCAGTGTGTCTGACCTCCTCCTGCTGTTTCAATCCACTTTGGAACTCATAAGGTCTGTAATAAGGTTGTGTTGTTTCTAAAAAATGGAGGGAGAGACCTCCTCCTGCTCACATCTAGCTTGACCCTCAGAAACAAACTACATTTCACTGCCTTTTCCAGCGTCTCTTCGTGTTAGGGCTTCGCTTCCTCGTCTCGATTACTAGCAAATCAAGGCACCACTTCAAAACATCATGGAGTGTACGATTTCTGCCATCCTTTTGGTCTCAGTTAAAGGGTTGGCAAGCAACAAATAGGGACCCATTTCTTTAAGGCTCACATGCACTTGGAGTCGCTCCTGTCCAAATATAGTTGATTGCAGATGCGGAACTCCCTGAAGGACCATAGACCAGTGATAGGTCAACGTGTCTCAAGCAGTATAACAAGGTAGAAACAAGCTGCCTCTTGCTCTAGGTTTGAAAGTGGGAAACAGATACCTATCTCCTTTGCTCAGAAGACAGCTACTTATATGGCTATAAAAAGAACATACATGATAGGCTGAAATTCTGTGTCACCTGGGACTTAATTCATTGTCAGGCTCTTTGCTCCCAGCTGCAGCTAAACTCGATAATCTTTACTGTATGATATTGCAGTTGAAGTTCTTTAACGCCTCAAAGTGCAGAAAAGGTTAATTTTATCCGTATATCAACATGAGTTTTAACACTTTTTTGCAATTCATTTAATTGAGTTTGACCTCTTGCTCATGTGTGTTCTTAGTTTGCTGATGGTGTTGAGTCCAGCGTATTCTGCTGTTGTTTTATGTTTGTCCTTCCTACTGGGGGTGACAGAAGCCTTCCTCAGGTGACCTCTTTATTAACACTGAAAACTACAGCATAAGAGCACACAAGCTGTGTAAGTTAATGAGGGCAATTGGTTTGTAAAGAGCAAACCACATATGTTGAGAAGGCCACACTTACCTTTAAAAGGGCAGAAGACTTTCTTGACCTTCCGTGCACCATGTTGATTACCCCTGTGTTGTGCAATACTTCTCAAAGAAGGGAAGAGCTCTTTACTGGATGTTTTGCTTTTTCTTGCAATCACCAGGTGCACAGAAAGAGATGCTTTGGACTGCAGTCCTGTACATTTCCCTTTGAGCACATTTAAAAAAAATTCAGTTGTGCTTACTTTTGAGTAAGCATTTGCAGGATTGTGTTATCAGTCACTCAAGCAGATTGGTAGCAACTCTCTTTTGCCCTTTATAATTCTTTTCTGTCACTCTCAGGAGTGAATTTCCTTTGCCCCCAGAGTTGGAAACAGGAATTCAATTTTCAGCTCTGCGACTGCAAAACAACCTCTTCTCCCCCTCATGTGATCAGATGAGCATGCATTTCTGAGCAGTGAAAAAGGAGAGGGAAAATAAAAGAGAAGAATGAGTACAAAAAAGCAAAAGATCTTATGCTGTGCCCATTGATCTAATCCAGGGATCAGCAAACTTTTCCAGCAGGGGGCCGGTCCACTGTCCCTCAGACCTTGTGGGGGGCCAGACTATATTTTGGAGAGAGAAAAATGAACGAACTCCTATGCCCCACAAATAACCCAGAGATGCATTTTAAATAAAAGGACACATATAAAAACACACTGATTCCCAGACCGTCTGTGGGCCAGATTTAGAAGGCAATTGGGCCGGATCCGGGCCCCGGGCCTTAGTTTGCCTACCCATGATCTAATCCAACAGTGATCTTAATATAAGATCTTAATTTCCTTATGTGGATCTCCCTGTCTGGATTAGGACCCAGTAAGTCTGATGTGTATTTGGTTACAGATGTTTATCAGCACAAATAACCATTTTTCCAGTAATGACACAAGAGCAAAAGTTACTCAGAAATGTTTTTCCTCACCCTGGTCACCAGCTCCACCCCATAGTAACACAAATATATTATTTTTTTATTGGCACCCAACCTTGAAATCTGGGTTTAAAAGATGAATGTTTTCAGGAATGTTAAGTGTGTTGTTGGAGTTTAGCATTTGGTGCCCTATCTTGGGCGAGTCAAGGCTTGTTAATGGTGCCAGAAAAATAATAATATTTCAAGGCCAGAAGAATCTACGTTCATTTATTTTACCCAACAAGCTAGACTCATCAGTGCATTTTGGTGCTCAAGGTAACATATAAAAGTACTGACAAATTAAATGCTAAAACAGAGAGGAAACGCAAGATACAAAAGACCAAACAAGGTTGCTGATGGTTTGCATCACCTTGGGGCTTAAGTGCCTTCAAGTATCTCTGAGAAGATGTGGGGTAGGGGGCTGAGTTCTGACTCTTGTGGTCTCCTCAGGGGCTGCTGTTTTGAGCTCCCTCATCTGCTCCTCTCAATGTGTTAGGTGCCTTGCAGATTTATTCTGACTATATTTGGGAAGCTCTGGCCATCTGACTTAACCCTGAGCCCCTCTCATTCATCACCACGAGAAGGACAATGAGCCATGCCTACAATTCAGAGTCCCCTCCACACCGCTGCCAGCCATGCCCACATCCCTGGTTAGAAAGAAATAGTGAAAACCAAAGGCTTTTCTCTCGCATCCAGCAATATCTGAATGCCCTCTTGTGCCTCCTCTAGACGACATCCACGCAATTGTACTTCTGTCCCATAGTGAGATAACGCCAGGAGGATAAACAAGACATTGAATCTTCACACAAAGGAAATGGTTTTTATAATGAGTGCAGGCTGAACAGAACTAATCTCTTTTTTGGATCATTACTTCACCTAATCGCGAAGCCTTCTTTTTAATTCCAATCCTTGCAGGGTTCTAATTGGTGACCTCTGGAGTCTGATAATTGTAGAAGATAGCTGGTCTCACACAGTATACCTAAATGGTCTGTGCAATTAAAAGTGAGAAATGTAGCTTAACCCTTATCCTGATCTTGCTAGGAGGAGTTGACTTGGGCCGAAGCATTAATCATCTGTATGCTGTCCTTGGCGACCAGATCTTTACGATCGAAAGAGATGGAGCGCTTCCCTTCAGTAACAGCTCGGACTTGAAAACGTTGAGGATATTTCAAGCTTTTGAACTATTGCTGGTACGCCGGGGAACATAACGAGAGCACAACAATAATTTCCCACTTTTATGGTGCAATGACAGCCTGATCTCAAGAGAACTGTGATCACACCTGTTTGGGACATGCGTGTGGCCCTGTACACATCTGAAACACTTCCATCTTGAGGAAATATACCGTTCCAGAATATGAATGGAAGTGGGTGGGATTCTCTAGTGCCAGTGAACTCTGTGGTCTGGCTCTGTTCTGCTAGAGGACAGGTTGCTGTGGGTCTGCTGGAGCTGGCTCATAAAATAGCACATCTACTGAGTACAACATAGGTGAATCTTTTGTATCTCCTGCCTTTGTGGTTTCCTATAGACATTTGATTGACCACTATGAAAACAATGTTGGCTTAGATAGACCTTTGGTCTGCTCCACCACAGCTATTCTTTATGCCTTCTCTTGGTTTCTCTGGAGAGCCCTGGGCTTCAAAGCTCATTGTCTAACTTCCTAAGGTTATTCTTATTAAGAAAGCTCCCGAGTACCCATTCTAATGGAGTGCCTTGCCTCTTGTGGTCTCTTAAACCATCCCTTCTCAATGTTGTGTGCCTAGATGTTGTCAAGTCTGCCTTAAGCTCTGTAAGCATGAACTGCTAAAAATAATGCCCCTTCAGTCTGTCACACAATATTGCTACTGGCCACCCCAATCTCTGCTGACCGCCCGGCACAATATTCCAAGCCATTTGGCACCCAGTCAGGGCCTGTGTTCCTTTGGGGAAAATGAGGCACGGCGGAGTCTGCAGGGTCTTTGAAATATGATTTATTTACACCAAATGTTTTAAGTAGAGCGAAATTTCACAGCATTCGCATCTCAGGAGGACCCTGTCCTTCACAGCAGCCCAGCACTGGGTTCCCAGACATCTCCATGCCTCTCTCAGCTTCAGCCAGCCTGCCAAGATGGTTCTGGCTTTCACAGCAGCTGATGGAGCTCTCTCTCTCTCTCCCCCCTCTAAATTCCAAAAGGACACATTTTTCCTGTGTGACAACTTGGCAACCTCCTCCCCTCACCTGTGGAGCCCCCTGCCTGGTTGATGGTTTCCATTGATGGGTTAATGACTTGCTTCTAGCACCTTTTCTTTCTTACAAAAGTACTTTACTTTCTTATAAAAGTAATTGTATTTCTTACACGTTTGAGGCCCTGACCTGGAAAAGAAGCTTAGCCTGTATTTTTTTTACTGGCCTGGCATTTCAATACTCCAAATATTATCTAAATTCCACCATTTATTAATTTCAAACATTCTCTAGCTCTAGCAGTTAAGGTGCCCTTTCAACCCCCAAACTCGGTTA